TCAACGTAGTATACATTTTTCCAAACTTTTAGCCGATAGTGTATAGAGAAAAATACACACACGTATGTAATATATTTATCTTTAGATAAGTATTACTAAAAATGTTCACGTAGGTGAGAGCACATGCGCATACGCACCGTCGCAATATGCATTTCTTACGTGACTTCCTGCATCGTTAAAAGATCTAAAAGATTGATCATATATAACGTATTTGCTAACGACTATCCATCTAATACTCGAAAGAATCTTGATTTTCAAGCTAACCGACAAAGGGAAGAACAAAAAAAAACGCCCGTTCGATCGAGCATATAAGTTTTTTTTTCTTTTTCTAAGTGCAACAAAGTGTACAACGGCGGTTGTTACTCTCGATAAGTGTAGCCAATTAAGAGGGCCATTTCTTTCTACATTTCCCCGTTTCAACGCAAAAGGGAAAGAAGAACTTTTAACGAAGCTATTATTGAAAACAACATCAACGTACATTGGCTAACGGATACTATCAAATTTACGACATAGTAGGTGAATAACCTCACCATCCCTTTCCAGTACCACCATCACCATCACCAAGACTTCACCAAGATCCCCAAGTAATTCTTCTCATTTGCCCCACCCCCCATGCTCACCTGTACCTGTGTATAAAGTGAAAAAAACAATCCCTCAATTATTTAATACCGCTACTACCTGTGGCTCGTGAAATTTCATGGGATGTACGATTTTTGTTTTTAACCATGAACCGATGATGGTTAGTGAACCAAAGTAATGGAGGAAAGGAATTGATTGATGATGGGGAACGTGCGGCCCATTGCAAACACGTATGGTTTACGGCATCATCAATCAATCTGTTTTCCCCTTACTATTTAATGTTAACTACCCCAGCCCCCATCATATAATCAAAATAAAAGTTTATAGAAAAGATTATGCGAGTGTCTAATAGAAATCTGCTACCTTTTGATACACACATCGTTACGAATATTTTCACCTTTTTAATAGCAACGTGCAAGTTTTTCTTTTTTTTTAATCAAAATTCTTTCTCGTTCTAATTGATGCATGGTTAAAATACTCGGCGTTCAATGATGTCTAGAGGACATTTTACTGAGATTTTACGACAAGGTTTTTTCGCAGCGTATGTGTGGGTCGTAGAGATTTGAACAAAAATAGAAAAAAAAAAGAATGTCCGAAAGCTCAACGACCGAAAATTCATTCGAAACCAGTTTGGCAAGATTACACATGTAATATATACTGCAAGTTTATGATAGTGAAAGAGAAGATCGTATTAGAGTCTATGCACAAGGGTTATCAAAATATTTCCTCTCAGGTAAAAATGGGTCTAGGTAGCTAAATTGAAAATTTTAAGAAACCATGCTCTACAGAACTATTTATTTTGTCAATAATGTTAAAGTAACTATTGTTCATTCGTTATCAATCTAATCAAAAATATGATTGTTAGTATATAGTAAATATTATATATCTTTTATTAAGTTTATATATAAAAAATAAAATAATATTAAATAGATATATAAGGGAGAAATGTAATTTGATTTTTACGTCAAGTGGTTAATCACATTTCTCCAATACAATTATTTTCATTTTATATTTAATCTATTCTTTAATAAAAAAAAAAACTTAAGAAGGTAATGACAATTATCGAACGATTTCGACGGATAAATTTTTGTCGTATCGGTGTTCATCCGATAATTTAACAATTCCAACAATGAGAATAATAAATGACTATATTATAAGAAATATCTTATGAACGTAGAGAAAGATATAAAGAATAGGATGAATAAAAATCGTTAAGTATTCGAAAGAAACGTCTTGGTACTCATGGGACAAAGTAGTTACATCTATATAGATAACTAAAAAGAGAGAAAGAACAAAAAAAATGAAAGGAAAATCTCCTATTTTTCTCTCGATAACGTTAAATTTTTCGCTTCTTCTTCTTCTACTTCTACTTCTACTTCTACATTCTAGAATTTCGACGATCGGATGTCGTAGAAATTCAAGGATTCCCGATTGACTTACCGGCTCACCAACGCCAATTCGAATTCTCTTCTGTTACGAGGTAGCTAAGAGGAAAGAAAAAAACTAAAGAAAGAAAGAAAGAAAGAAAGGAACGATCTTTCCAACGATGTGAAAGGAAGAAAAACGAGTCTTTCTATCATTCACATTTATTATGCACGCTCGAGGAAACTAGAGAATGAAAAGAAAGATAAAACGTCCTACTATTGATTGACGATTGGAACTATGAGAAGGGGAGTTCTTTGACCGATAAGCCGTGACACATTGAAGAAATCACTTCCGAAAAAAAAATCGCTTTTCTCATTCACACAGTTTCCATTTTATTCTTACAAATTAATCTTCTTGCTATTACTATTACTATTACTACTATTACTACTTTATTATTATTGCTGTATATTTTTCTTTTTAAATCGTGATAATTTCTCTATCTCATAAAAAAAAATTGAATCTCCCCTTTTTTTTTTTTTATGTGTGTGTCTGTAGGTGTGTGTACGTAACCGCCCACTTTGTGGTTCTTCTAAACGCGAACATTTATCAGTAAGAAGAAAAAAAATATATAACAAAAATCCCGACGGGATTCCAACGAACGAATGAACGAATGACAAATCGTTCTCCTTATCTCTTCCTCTCCCTCTCTCTCTTTTATTGTTTAGTCTCACGTCAGTTTGTCTACGAAAATCGCATATTAGAATTTCACGACGGAAACGGAAAAGGAAACGACACTTGTGGTACGTATAATTTCAACGAAAAAAACTATTTAAAACGTTATACTCTTTATTATATCTGCAAAATAACCCAGATCATCATCCCATTTCATTGCATTTGATGCGTGTGCGAGAGTATTAAATAACGTTGCTTTACGAAAAACTTTTTACCATTTATGACTCCACCCACTCTCAGCCACGTGGTGCGCTTAACCATTAATTAAAAAACGTGTACCCGCGCGCTTGTCAAAGGTTCACGTCATTTCGAAAAATTGATATTTCATCCCACGTCGATAAAAACGTAGCTGACTCATCGACGACTCTACGTCGAGTGTATATATATAATAATATATAACAAGAATAAATTTCTTTTATTTTTTTTTTAATTTTTTCTTTTTCTCTTTTCCCATGAACGTTCACAAAATTTAACCAACGTTTCAAATTCTATCTATCGCTTGTTCTCGTTTTATTTCAATCCTTACCTTATTATTTAACATTCTCTTGTTCTGTTTTCTGTTTGTATTTCAATCGGTTATACATTTGAAACATCCAAAAATTTAACGACATTTCTGTTATCTACGTTTGCCTGACGGTCATCGGATTCGTCGATCATTGACGCCTAACGGCATTCGAAATTGTTGTGTCGAATGAACTCACGCATATACACATACATACACACACACGTGCGCAATACAAGTCACGATTCTTGAAGAGACTTGGTGGCTTGCTTGCTTGATTCTTGATCTCCTTGCGAGAGAGGAGCCTTTCGAACCGGAAACTTTACGATCATTTCGGGTTTCGAAATTATTGAGGATACTAACATTCGTAAGCTTGTTTATAAATATATATATATATATGTATGTACGTATATCGTTTCATCCTTGCATCTCTTTGAATTTCGTAGAAAAGGTCGCTGCTTCTTACACGAGATTACAATCCTTTATAAACTTTCCTAGAATATATATGTGTGTGTGCGTGTGTGTGTGCCACTTCGAGAAAGTTAATTTAACCAAGGATTATACGAGTATTACAATTGAACTTTTGATAAACTTTAGCCATTTCATTTACGACACAATATTACTTTCATTTATATGTCTCTTGTTATATTTCTATATACGATTTGGTTTAATATAAAATATTATTTTGAAAGCACAACGAAATACAATAATAATTATTTCCTTGTAAAACATTGAATTGTTATATTTGTCCTAATATTATGGATGTTCTTTTTTTTTTTTTTTGTAGATAAAAAAATACATAAAATATTCATTATTATTATTATATTTGTACATTACACTATATTATTCTTATAAATAAAGTGTTGTACTTTTAATTTCCTAAATGATACAGATAAAAGTTTTCAAATTCCTTGGGACCCTCGATGTGTCCACCCATGCGCGTTAAATAAAATTTATCCTCTTAACATATAATATTACTTTCAATACTTATTGTGTTAGTTTAATAACAAAAAAAGGATAACATTACCAAAAACAAAGCTTTAACAACAAAAAATAATAAATGCATTTTACCTTTGACGTAATTCAGGCAAGATACACCACGAAGTAGACTGACAGAAGTATTAGATTCCCAAAGTCTTGATAAAATCCCTTCGCAAGGTCACTCTCGATGAAGAATACAATAAACAATGGAAGAGAAAATAAGATAGAATATATATTCTTCCTTCTAAATAACGATATATATATGTATCTATATATAAACGATTCGATAGGAAGAACAAAGATAATAAACGGTGGGGTGGCGGAAGGAGGAGGGGGAGAGGGGTATTATCAAAATACGATAAATACGAATAAACGAGAGAAACAAATATTTATAATTGATATTATTAAGAATAAAAAGAAAAATACAAAAGAAAAAGAAAACGAATGTGGGAATGAAATGACGCGTGTTCTCCAACTCGCGTATGATGCGTCGCGGCCGATGCCGACTGACTGACTGACTGACTAACTGACTCCGCAAGTCAGCACCGGTCGTCGTACAGTCACTACACTTGCATCAACAGACCCGTATACAACACACACACAAAGAAAAAGAGAGAAAGAGAAGAAAGAGAGCTCACGGTCCCGCTTGGGACCCTCCTCTGACCTCTCCAATCCCTCTCCAGTCTCTCATTGGTCCCAGAGTTTGCCTCTCCTTTCCAGTCTTCCAAGTCTTCAGGCTCCGTTCCAGCTTCCACTCCAACCTCGCCTTCTTCGTTTTCTCTCTCTCTCTCTTTCTTTCTTTCTTGCTCCCACGCTATCTCTTTCTATCTTTATTGCATCTCAACATATATATATATATATGTACAACCTGCACATGCACACGTTTTCTATTTAATATATACAGCTATTATATCCCCTTTCGTGTTACTCGTTCTCTAGCAATGGGTCTGATCTGCTTGGGTCTCTGGCCCCGTTCTCTCATGATTTTAGTAGCTATCCTTTGTTTTTGTCGTAGATTGAATATTAGGATCCTTATCAAACTACAAGATCATGTTACTCGATTCGAAGAACTGGAAAGAAATATCAACTTGTTTATATATTCCCCTGACAATGAATACATTTATCGGTAATATCGAATGATACATAAACATTCAATAATATTGCTTATTAAAGAAATTCCATTTCTTTGATAAATTTGTTTTTTTTTTCTTTTTACATGATACTTATAAACGGTATTGCGAGAGAGAACATATATAAATGATGAAAGTATATATTTTGTTTATATTGTGTTAGTATTTAGTCTCTTGGAGATTCGATATCAATGATGAAAAAGAAAAAAATAAAGCGCGTGCCGAAATCAACTCGTGTACGCGTTTTTATCCATCGCTACGTTCACCATTATTACTTTGGAATTCTTCAAGATCGCGCGGCTGTTCTTTTGCGACACGTCGAGTTTCGTAGAAGCAACAAATTTCGAAATAATTTTGAAATAATTGAGTAGTCGTCTTCGGCCTTAATTCAATTCGAGCAAAACAATCGGGGATGATATCAATCTTTTAATTGGCCCAATCTCGTAAAATGAAACAACTCTTTCTATAAAATATCGCTTCTAAGATAATACTCTCGTTGTTCGAAAATAAACACGAAGTAAATGATGAAATATTCAATGCATAAAATAACTAAGTATATATTCGTTTTAAAAGGGTATAAAATATTACAGCTGATTAAAGTATCCAGAAATTAAAAAACATAAAATAAACGCGAGTTCGGTACTTCGCGCGTAAAGTGGAAAAACTCGTAATAGTTTTATCTTTTTTTTTCTTTTTTTTTTTTTACTTTGCTTAAGAAAAATATTTGAGATATTAAAATTTATCGTAAAAAATTTTTCTCGGTACTGTTTTTGTTCAAAACTTTAAAAAGAGTTTCTTTTAAGAGCTTTAAAAGCACAACTTTCAATCCAAAAGGCCATTAAGTTGCTACGTTCCTTTCTGTCCAACAGATATTTAATAGGAAAGATATTATAAATTTTCGTCATTATGAATTTATTATCGACGTGTACTATAGAAAAAAAAAGAAAAAAATAATAATTTTCAAGCAATCCCAAGTCTTTCTAGTGGAGTTGCAATTTTCATTTATCAAATCCAACATCTTCTTTTTCATACTTGAGTTGAATCGGGACATGCCCTAGATGTTCATTGCCTCAAGGTTACGCAGATGCAGTTCGCTACCGAACTTCCTTTTTTTTTCTCTCTTTTCTCTGTCGTTTTTTTCTTTTTTTTTACCTACTGAGTGCTCCTCTATCCCCGAGAATTACCAGAATTAAGCAGATGCAAATTTAAAGAGTTACATTTGTTTGTTTCTTTCTCTCTCTCTCTCGAATTTTCACGATGTATAAGAAGAAAATTTTTGAAAATTGCTTGCCTTAATTTATCGACGTTAAGCTTTTTAACACAACTTCAATGTTGTCCATCAAAAGACCATTTTCTTCAGTTAACTTGGACACGTCGACCATTTCCTTCGACTTTCCATGTAATTTTTCAAACGCGTTTCGCGCTTCTACTACTTCAATGAGAACATTCCAAAAGAGTTTCTATCAAGAATGATTCATATTTTATTAATATTTCATTTAAAAAGAACAAAAGCATATATGATATCTTGCATGATATCAAATTTGATCGCTTACCTCGGCATTAGCGTAATTAGAGATTCCTATGCAGCTTACGAATCCATTACCATGCGCATAATAGCCAAGTTTCCGTCTACGCAAACCAAAGCAATAAACTGTTTTATTCTTTCTGCACATTTCTAATAACTTGTCAACTTCTTCGTTTAAACCACCTGGAATTAATAAAAGAGTCGATTAATTCGACGATCATGATATTCCAATTGTCATTTTTTACTTTACCTGCTGACATAATCTTTTCAATATCCGGTGCTATCACGACGAATCGTACTTTTTTCAAAATAACGTGTTTTTGTACCTCCTTTAAGCCTGAATAATAACGACGTTTATACTTGCCTTTATTTTTATCTCTACCATAAAGTTTACTTTGTAGTCTTCGAATTTCGGATAAAAATTTATCCAAGGATTCGTTAAGAGATAACGTTACTAAATTATTACAATATCTGTAATGTAATCGAACTATCAAAACGCAAACTTCGATTTCATTTATTCTACAATAAAAGGCTTGGTTGAAAAATTTAGATATTGTATACTGTTATGTAAGAATACTGATATAAAATTACACATAATAATTTACAATTAATCAATTTAACGAGGTATTATTTGTAAAATAAAATACTTTATGCTAACTATATTAGTCCCGTTATTTAGATTACGAATATACACTTGTAATATACAATAATATATACAAGTATGAATTTTCTATATATTACAGAGAGAATAACAAATTAGAAAAAAAATGCATTCAATTTAATATTTTATTTTATTTCTTTTTTTTTTTGTATATTTTAAAATACATCATCACTATAAAATATACTCAAATAAGTAATGATACTTACTCTCTAAAATTTGTGGAATATTTAACGTCACACAAATGATTAATGTTTGGTTTAATATCTACATTATTCTCATCGGTAAGAGACAACTTTGAATTTAATGAAACATTTAAATCATTTAGATCGGCAACTGAATTTCTATAAGGAGAGATACAAGCATTCTTATCTTGAACATCCGAAATCTTCAACTCATCTAACTTTTGAGTCACATCTGGACAGTTCTGTACAGTATCTTCTGGAATATATTTCAGCAACTGACGCATTCCGCTCATTTCAAAAAAATTAATGATAGAATATAATTCTAAAAATGGTTCGACATTGAAATGATCATCGTCTTTACAACTTATCAACAGCTTATGTTTATATTCTATCATTTTCTTTACTCTCGACGCTTTTTTAAACATTGCATCACAAAATCTATTTTTTCTAAGTGGGATATCCATTTCATTAGATTTATTTCTGTTACTTTGACTCAAGCTTGCTTTGTTAACGTCTTTTACTGTATGCGATTGTATTCTTTTCATAAAGAGGCGTTCAGTGATCTAAAAATAAATACCAGTTAAGAATTATTATTCTGGACATGTAATATTACCGATCGAATATCTATACTAACTTTCAGACGTTGTTTAAAGTCGAGAAATTCCTTCTCCATATCCATCCTATGTCTATATTCTTCTTCTATAGATCTTTTCTCTTTATTCTTAGCATAGGATATCGTATGTTCTCTAACAGATTTATAATGAGAAACAAATGGATCCGGTGGTGTAACCTTGGTCATCATTTTCTTCTGACCGAGTTCAGGATATTCTGAGTCGTCTAAACTTTCTTCAGTAGAAAACTCCATTGACGTACTCTGATGACTGTTATATATATCTTCAAGCGTAGTATGTTCCATTTGATTTTGAGAACTAAAATAATGCAGTGGCAAATTATTATACAACGTTTTCTCCAACTGCGCACTATATATGAAATATTAAATACAAATATAATTATTGTGTATATTAATAAGAAGATCTTGAAAAATATTATCTTTAACACGTGCAAAGCCATTTTTGCCTGATTTGTCGTTTAAGCCGTTTAATATTTAGTGCATTAAATAAATATGACCACGTGTACGACTGGTGGTACACGTGGCACGGAACGTGTTAATATTTAATTATAAATTATTTGATCAGCAATAAATCTTTATAATCATATTTTATAACCTAAATAGAATTTTACTTACAGATCTAACCAAGCTGAGTGTGGAGAATGAGGAGGGTTCATATTGTTAATAACTTTTATTAAGCAACGAAACCTAAATAATCTTGATTATATATTCACTGACTGCTTTCTTATTACTAAAAATTCAATACTTGCACCACATTGTTAATAATTAATATTTGAACAAAAAATATTAACTTCCACGAGGTGCACTCTGTACCGTATTGTATTCAACGATCTTGTTATTGTTTGTCCAGACCTTATGCTAACACTAGCGCCATAGATTCATACTACGTAGTCCAAAATATTTTCTCACACATTATTGTTATCGATAGAACACTAAAATCTTATTTTACTATTTTCATGACGGAATCTGCACTATCGATAGTAAAGTATCTGCACTAAAGATAGTAGCGCCATTACCGACAAAAATTGAAACTAATAATTTTACCTTCTGTTTTATCATACGACTTTTTATGGAACGAAATTAAAATCCTAATTAAATTTAATTACAAATTCTCTCATGTTTTAGAAAATAACAATCAAAAACATTTCTAATATCTATTTGTAAATTGTTTTAATACAAAACGATAAGATTAAAAACAATTATCTATTTCTATGAAATAAATATAATATCAATGCGTTTATGCATATATAAATTTAAAAATGATATCCAAAATATTTGTTTTGACATTAATTACATTTCGTTTACATTCGTCATTAGAAACGATATAATGTCAACTAAAAACAAAAACCAATCCTTAGAGCGTTGTAAGGAACAAATTATAATTTCAGATAAAGTTCGGATAATAAATTGTAATTAAACTGGCAAAAAAAGCGTCGCGTTTTCTAATCTTGCTCACAAACAATATTCTATCTCCTTGAACGTTATTCTTTCAGCTTTTTTAAAATATTTAAGTACTACAATACTAGAACAAACCTTAACAAGATCGATCGATCCCCACAGAATAATAATAAGAAAAAAAAAAAAAATCCTTTACGAGTTCTTCAGACTAATAAAAAAAAAGAAATCATAAATAATCTTTAAGTCAGTGTTCATTTAATACCAAAATGTGCATACGCGTACTTTCTTTTCTTATATTACCAGAGCAGTATACTCCGTTAAAAGGCGCCATTTACCGTAATACACGACCGCTGGTACATATTTTTGCCGTTAATCTCGCCTTTACGACAGTCATAGAAACACACGTGTGTTGCCATACGCACCGTACGTTCGTACAGTGGTAGTCATTAATATCGACCAAACAGGATTACTCGCTTATTTTCTGGTTTTGTTACTTTAATTTTTCTCTTTGTTTCCTGACATAATTATATTAATTTATAATAATATTCCTAATTGAACCTATTTATATAACATAATTTCTACACTTTTAATAAATATTATAAGATGGGCTACGAGAATAACGTAACGATTGTATCTGTTAAAAAAAAAAATAACATAATAATCATAAGTAAGAAGAAAAAGAAAAAAAAAGATGAAAGGACTAAAGGTTTTCTTTGATTTAAAGAGAGAGAGAGAGAGAGAGAGAGAGAGAGATGATGCATGAGTGTGTTTTTCACAATTGACACTGTACGTAAGATGCAACGAGTTTTGCTCGTGCGCCGTATCGAAAGGACCTGCGCACGTGGTACCGAGCAAGCCGTAAAGAGGAAAATCAATAATTTCCAGGGTATAAAAGATCCTGCTTCACGTAACGCGAGTTACCCTCTCTTTTGTTCCAGTGAACGTTGTGCGGTGTATTCGAAAGAAGAGAGCTCGTCGCGTCCCGAGTATTAAATAATACAAAATATATATATACATATATATATATATATATATATGTATATATATAATATATAAGAAAAGTCTTTATAAAAAAAAGAAAAAAAAGTCCACATCTCGATTCTTCGATTCTGATTGGTTCGTGTCATTTAATTTATAAAAGAACAAAATAAGAAAAAAAGCTCTCAAATTTTTTCCCTTATTATCATCGTTGTGGAGGTAAACACACTCATTTACGTCTACAGTAAGATTCTAGTATAAGTAATAATTATTAATAATAATTATAATAATAATGTAACACATCGAGAAGAAAACGAAAGAAAAATGAAGACGCATGGTTGATGATCAACTTGCGTCGTCTAAACGATCAAATCCCGATTATTACTGCGATCGATCTCGACGTGAATATTTCGAATTCATCTAATATCATAGTGTTTATTTTTTTAACCAAAAGGAAGAACGTAGATTTTAGATCATATGACAAGCTCGTTTTCGTCTCTTATCGATTAAACATTAGCATGCAAACGTACTCGTATCGCGTCGATATCGTTCGCATGTTAAAACAAAAAAAAAAAAGGAATTTAATCAGAAAGATGAACTTCTTACGAGATTTCGTAGACTCCTTGAATATTATTTTATATGTATAAAACTAAAATTTCATTCGATTTCATTAACACACCCTGTATTTAATGATTATATATATATATACGCGTATCGCATATTATAATTATTAAATACAGATAGATGGACACGTGTGTATTATATTTTATTTACGAAACACACGTAAATCCAACGAATTACAAATTTATTTCAAAAATAATGAAACTTAAAAATGTGTGCTGATATATACGGATATGAAAAACAAAAGAAAAAAAAAAAAGAACAAAAAAAAAAGAAACACTTCTGTTTTCGCATCATTCCACCCAAAATACATTTTCTTTTTTCGCTTATAGTTCTCCACACGAGGCCGTTACTATTACGTACGGTTGTAATGTGTGGCATGGTGTAGGCCTCCTGGGGATCCCGCCATGTAAAAGAACGGGGACGCGTTCTGGCACGGTACCCCATGGGTGACGAGGAAAGCTGTGCTAATATCCCTTTACTTTACTTTTAATACTATCTTATCTTTTTTTTCTCTCATTCCATCGTTTCTTTGATACTTGTTATCAGGTATTTTATCGTTAACCATCGAAGTCGATTAAAACGATTATTTTCCTTCGGCCATATCCGAAAGTTTTACAACCGAAGCTGTTGCACTTAATTACTGCATATAAACGACTTTTTATTTCCACCCTCCTCCTCCTCCTCCTCCTCTCATTTTCTTTTTCTTTTTATTTTTCTTTTTCTTTGATCGCATTCCGAAAGTTCCCTGCCGATGATCACGAACCTTATCAATTATCCTCGTATATAAACGTATAAAATTTCACTTTAATGGGTGAAATTCGTACGTACATATTATGTTTATATTTCAATATATATATATATATATATATGTGTGTTTTTGTGTATGACTGTGTATATGTGTATATATATATATATATA